TGTATAATCCAACCACGTCCCCAGCGAATTTCTGCCCACTCGTGGTGCGCTTCGCCAGCGCCCAGAAAGCGCTGGAGCTTGGCAGCGGACGGCGCTTCGACGTGGAGTCCCGGGCGACGTTGGGAGGTGTCGGCCTCGACGATGCCTTCGTGGATCGTGAGGTATCCTACTTGACCGTACTCGTCGTGGTAGCGACATCGGTTGAGCAGCGGTGCATAGCGCCGACACTCGGGTGGCAGTGTCGTCTCGGCTCGACCAATGATGAAGGGCATCATGTTGACCTGGAAGGGCTGAGGCTGCGTCTCGCTATCGACAATGTGCGTGAGCGGCGGTGGAAACGTAATGCGTTGAGGGACGTTTGGGATCGGCGTCTCGCGCGGCGTGTGAAAAGATATAATGGCATCGCCAAGTTGGACGTAGCCGCGCTGGTCGGTCTTGAGTTGCGCCCGCCAGATCGCCCGGAGATGGTCGACGATGGCCTTGAGAACATCGGTTTGGCCTCGCAGTCTACGCAGCGAGCTTCCGTCGTCCAGCGTACCGAGCAGGAGAAGGCGGACGACCGAGTTGTGCCACAATGGCGCCGGGGTCATCTCGGCAATTGAAATTTGGTTCTTCCGTCGCAGATCGAAGCTCCGAGCATTGTGATTGGTGGAGAAAGAGCCAATCGGATGCTCGCCGAGTGGATTTACTTCTGGCTTTTGTGGGAGTTTACCGGTACTGCACTGTGAGCAGGCTGCCGGTGCTCCTTGAGCAAGACGGACAGTCACGACGGAGTAGAAACAAGGTCGCGTCCCCTTCAGCTTGGCATTGCAATCAAAGCTCGAGTACAGGCCCACTGGAGGTGGCACGAACAGTCATGGGCCATGAGTCATGGACTGTACCAGATATCATTGCACATGGGTGCATAATATTTCTGTGCCCTGTACCTGTACCCTGGTGTTGCTGGCATGTCTTTCGCCATCAAGCTGACGCTAGAGCCAGCGATTGCCCCTGAGAGCATCCCCAGCAGTCGTTTTTATACGTAAATATAGCAATTTTTAAAAACGGACCTCCCCAAACTTGGCTGTCGGCACGGGCGGTCGCCTACCTCAGTACGTCCCCAAGGCGATTCTCCAGTCGCCGCGCGCACACCAAGGATGGGGCATTCCCAACATGGAAGCTGTCTGCAACCAACAAGCCGTGCGACGCGTCGTCCGGCTCGTCCTTACCGCTGGTACAGCGGCCAGTCAAGTCGGCCTGTCGGCCCTGCCGCAAGCCGGCCTCCTCGACAAGGTCTGCCACGTACCAGCGCGGCCATTGCGGGCGGCCCCGACAGACACGGTGCTCGATTGTGGCTATCGGCTGCTTTGCAATGCGTTGGGACGCGCGGACCGACCGCACACGGCGGACCTGCAAGCGAAACTCGACTTTTTTCAATGGGCTCGCACGGCCATTACGTTCGTGTGGGGCGCGGACGACACATGCCGCGTACATGTCCCCGAACACGACAAGCGCTGGGCCTCGCATCTAGCGACGGTACGCCGCATGGATCCGGGACGTCGGCACTTTCTGTGGTACCAGCCGATCGCGAACAACGCATGGCTACCGGATTCCACTGGTCGGGCTGTGCGCCACTCGCCGTACGCAACGTTGGCCACCGCCTTTGCAACGTGCTCTCACGAGGGTCCGCTATGGTTCCGACCAACGCGACCGGCGACCTTCGCGGACCGAGCGCACTTGCAATGGCTGTATCTTCTCGCTCTTGCCCACGGCGCCAAGGCCCAAGCTCAACTGCCTCAAGCACAAAACCGCATCTACCTGCCGTCTGCGTGGGTCAAATGCTCGGTGCGTCGGCGTGTCCCTCTCGAACGCGTCGTCAGCCGTCACGCTGTCAAGGAATTGACACGGTTGCCTCCATCACTCGATCGCTATCAAGTGCGACGTCAAAAGCTGTGCGAGCAGCTCGCGATCCCGCACGACGAAGCCACGTGGAAACCGTCATGGAAGCACTTGCCGTATTCCGGGGCCGTGCGTTGGCTACAGTACCGCTGGCACCTCCAGGCGTTTCCGTTCCAGACGGCAGCAACAGCACCGACGTGTCCGCATTGCGGCGAGCCTGATGGCAGTGCTCACACGTTTGTCCAGTGCTCACGGGCCCAAGCGACGTGGCAGGTCGTACTCGGCATTTGGTTTGGCCGAGACCCGCAGAGCATCACGGTCGCCGATCATGTACGCTCGATTGTCTCCCACGAGCAGCTGGCCGCACCGGCGTGGCTGGTGCGGGCCTCACATTGGCGCTCCCACGGCACCGTGTT